TGCAGTCGGTGTCCTGACAGAGATATCCTCACCAATGTGTGGCAGAGACTCATCAGACTGGACTCYGGACAAAAATAGTCCTGAAAGCAGCTGTGAGCCTCTACTCTGAATTATCTGGTGAATTAATTATGAATTAATTATCTAATGAACGTGACATGCTCTTGCTCTCTGTAAATAAAGCAAAGCCACTTCCTGGTCCGACATTAAACAGAGCCCGACAGAGGAGGGAGGGGCGGGGAGGCTGTTGACGTGCAGCMCTTCAASAGCTGACCTGCGTCTGACCTCAAAGTGCACAAGCTTCAAACTTCAGCGTTGGATGCCATTTTGAAGCTGAAATCAGGTTTGGTGTGAACGCAGCATAAGCCTGTAAGACCACCCTGATGTGACCATATGTTGCATTTGAACAGGTTTGACAAATAAGACTGCTGAGGCAGATAAAACATACTCCTGGGCTATTCAACTGGTGGCCCACGGGCCATATCCGGCTCACGAGTGACCAAAGTACGGCCTGCCAATTGGTTCATTCATCTCTTCAGCCCAAACTCCTGTTTACTACTTTAATTACTCTAAGTTGTTTTAGTTAAACACAGACATGTTTGTATCTACAGAAACATCAGAATCTTGGCTACAAGCTGGTAAAAACATTTCTATGAACACTGAACACAGTTAAAACTACAAGCAGTTGAAGATAAAACTATGAAAGTCTAAATAAAATTGGTTTAAATAAATATCATACCAGGATTATACACATCACAGCCACACATAGAGATAGGTAATATGCAAATATTATAACTGCAGCCACACAATATCACTGTCAATTTCCCCAGCTGGTGACACTTCCTGTTTCTGTAACGGAATATTTCAAAATAAAATGTCATTCAAAACAATTAATGCAAAACATTAAACCTTTGCGTGGGAATGCAAAAAGAATTGCAAAGAACCACAAAAGACAGAAAATCCCTTCGTTTCCTCCCGGGCTCCATAAAAAATGATTAAAATAATATCAAATACAGTCATTTCTGTTGGGGGCTGCGGCAGTTCGGTGGTCTTCTAATCCTGAGGCTGTGGTTTGTGCCCAGGTTGCGTCAGAAAAACCATCCTGTGTAAAAAAAATGCACTCACTGTGGCAAAGCTTACTGAAGGTAGCAGCTAAAAGCACAACAGCTACTAGAACTAATTTAGACTATACTGTCTTTGCCTTCTACACCCTCCTAGACTGGTTAACAACAGCAGACTGGGGAAGGACCAGATGACTTTATGACCTGTTTTTTATTGTTTGAATGCCATGTCAAACAAAACGTGTGCTAAAAAGCAGACACAGTTGTGAAATTGTTGAATCATTTTTTCTCATCAGTGACCCTAAAAAATGCTGCAGAGCTGCTGGAGTTCGCCTCCTTGTACAACGCAGAGCAGCTGAAGCTGTCCTGCCTGCAGTTCATCGTCCTCAATATGGCCGCCTTGCTGGAGTCAAGGTGAGAATCAGTGTGAATAAATGAGCAGCACATATCTGAATCAGACCATTTCCTATTAAAAGACATCACAGTTTGATTGTAGTAAGATGGTGGTTCTAATGTTTGTAACAGACCTGGTCAGTCAGGGTTAGGGTTAGGGTTAACCTGGCCTGTGTTGCTGTTTAAATATGTTTGTCTGCTGCTCTGTTGTCTTCAGAGCTCTTGACATTGTTAGTGATGAAGTGCTGGTGGAGCTTTCTGCAGCCTACAGGAAGATGGTGAGTAATTTTTACTACTAGTAAGGATGAAAACAGCTGCATTACATGTTTGCTCATCAGTTTTGTTATGATGTGGATGATGGTTCAGATGGAGAAGTTATGAACCTGGAGCTGGGCTGCTCTTGGCTCTCTTGCAGTTTGGCTAACCATATTTTCTTGTAAATGCAACATCAGCAAGAAAAACAGTAGAAGCTGATTTCATCCCTTCACTTGTTGTCCTCTGTCGTTGAGGCGGGGGACATCAGTGATGGTTGGCATCAAGTTCCAGTTTGTTGTTTTTAGTTCTGTGTTCATTTCAGTTTTTGTTCCATACAAATTATAGTTTAAATAGGCTTTGAATTTGATTGTAGATCCCAGCAATGCAGAAGCGTGTCATCACCCCGTACCCTGATGCACCAGACCTCAGTCTGTATGAGGAGGAGGACCTGGACTCAGCAGTCAGCCCCAGACCAGAAGCAGAAATGGAGCAGTCTTGCAGGTACAAAAAATATGACATAATTTAGTATTAGCCACAGTTTTTGTTTTAGAGGTGTAAGTATTACTTTTTGCATTAGAATCCTGCATTAGTACAGAAACAAAAAGAGTTTTAGCCGGCACAAAACTATAGTAAACAACTGCAAACAATAGTGTAACCCTGTTTTGTTTTTCTAATCCACTGGCTGCTGTACAGCACCAGAGAAACTAAGCAGAAAAAACAATGTTTTAAAGCAACCATCAGGAGACACTTGGGTTTCTATGAACTTACCAGAAAACAAAAATAAAACTATTCACACCTAGTTTATAATTTGTTCCTTTAAATTTTAATATATTGAATTTTATAAGTAGGATTTTTTCTTTAAGTTTAGGGAAAAGCCTGCAAAACTATTACAAATAACATTGTTATTGTGCAGAAAAGAGCTGTAAGAATTGTTTTTAGAAAACCTTATGGTCATCTAACAAATATTATTTCATCAGTTGAAATTAGTGAAAGTTTATCATCTGGTTGATTATAGTATTTTGCGAGTCATGTATTGGGCTAATAAAACACTGTTACCAGTCAAAATATCAAGTCAAATTATATTATTGTCAAAAATGATATCCTGTCAAGATCAGCTAAAAAGAGAGTCACCACAACCTTAAGGGACAGGAGATTTTCATTAATCCTTCATTTAGAAATAATCTGAAGGAACAATATATTATAGTTCAGGGAATAGCTTTATGGAACTGTCTAGATATGAATGTAAAACATAGAGCTTATCACACCAGAACACAGCTGCTATTATATAACCATGGTTAGATTTTAACTATATGCTAACTAAAAATAATAGCTGTGGAAGGTAAGTTCTGCTCTGCAGATATTACACAGGTTTCTCTTTCATTTTCTTCAAATGATCCCACACTTTGAGCTCTGTTGTCAGGTAGCCATGATACCAGAGCCTGTCTGTATAATGTCTTGTGACGTCCACGGCCTACCCCAGTTACCACTACTGTGCATGTGTGTCAACGACAGAAAGGCAGACGTGGCAGTGGAAGCTGTCAAAGCAGTTTGGAGACAAAAACAAATAAAAAAACAAAAAAGACAATCGATTATTAAATTAGTCATCGACTATTTTAATAGTTGATTAGTTGTTGATTAGTCGACTAATCATGGCAGCCCTAGTCAGGATTCAGGGTTTGGATATGGAGGTGATTGAGGATTACAAATATCAGAGTCCAACTGACCAACAAACCATTACCACAGGTCTGTCATCATCATCTTCATCATCATCACATCTGCAGTGAGGCTTTACAACCAAACTGTTGAACATCTCCACATCTCATTTCTGTGCATTTCACAGGAAATCTACTGTATCTACTTATAATTATATTAATATACTGCAAATGTAGATTTACTGATTATTTGTTTCTATTTGTTGTATTTTTTTGTTTGTTTCTGTTGTACTTAATGTTTTTAGTTTTCTCTGTCTGTCGTTTCATTGCTGCTGTAGCCTGTGACCTTTTCCTGCTGGGGATCAGTAAAGTGCTACCTTATCTTATTTTTGTTAATTGTTTAATTTTTTTTTCTCCTGCAGAGAAACACTGTTGAGGAAGGTGAAGATGAAGGTCAAGAAGAAACCAAGGAGACGTTCTGACAGTTCAGGAGGGTACACTCTGTCTGATATTATTCAGAGCCCCCCTGCTGCAGGTACAGTTATGTACACACACACACACACACACACACACACACACACACACACACACACACACACACACACACACACACACACACACACACAGACAAAATACAATTTATTTAGAAAAACTTGATCACAATTAATAGCATTTCTGTTTACTTTTCAAAAAACATTTTTCTGTTAAATTTGACTCGCTGTCATCCTGACAAACTTGCAAATGCTACAAAAATAACAATAGTAATAACAGTAGTAATAACAATAGTAATAACAGTAGTAATAACAGTAGTAATAACAGTAGTAATAGCAATAGTAGTAATAACAGTAGTAATAACAGTAGTAATAACAGTAATAATAGCAGTAGTAGTAACAGTAGCAATAACAGTAGCAATAACGGTAGCAATAACAGTAGCAATAACAGTAACAATAACAGTAGCAATAGCAGTAGCAATAGTAATAATAGTAGTAATAACAGTAGTAATAACAGTAGTAATAACAGTAGTAATAACAGTAGTAATAGCAATAGTAGTAATAACAGTAGTAATAACAGTAGTAACAGTAGTAATAACAGTAGCAATAACAGTAGCAATAACAGTAGCAATAACAGTAGCAACAACAGNAACAGTAGTAATAACAGTAGCAATAACAGTAGCAATAACAGTAGCAATAACAGTAGCAACAACAGTAGTAATAACAGTAGTAATAACAGTAGTAATAACAGTAGTAATAACAGTAGAATCTCTTGTCACATTATACAATGCTAGGCTACGTTCACAGTGCAGGTCTTAATGCTCACTTCTAATTTTTTTGACGTGAACAATCATGATGTTACAAAGACTGCACAGGTAAAAGAGCAACAATGAATGGAGTTTAAGTGTTAACGTTGACACTCATTCAGTTTGGACCATGGCTGTGAAAATGTCTGTTTGCAACCGCCTCACTTCTTCCAGAAAATGTTTAGAAACAACTTTTATATTTTTGATTGGTTTTATGGTCCAACTTCTAATTCTGCTGTCCATTATTGACCAAATCTGACATAATTAGAAATAAAAGCAGAAATGTATAAATGGACCATTAAGTAAATATGTACACTTTAATGCATCTGTTAAATTAAAAAAGGAGATTTTTACATCATGTTTTATAATTTAATTGACCTTCAAAATATTTTTTCCAGCTTAGGCCCAATAAATTATATTCTATAAAACCTAATTTACATTTTATTGTTTTAATTTTTTTGTTTTTCCTTTAACTTGTACACGCATCTGTGTCTCTTAAATATTTATATTTAGTTACTTTTCCCATAAGTCTTTTTATTTCTATGTGCTGCTTTTACATTTCTGTGTCTCCTGTTTTTACTTTACCTCATGCATTTCTTTGTCATTATGTAAATAAGGTGGGCGGTCCTTCTTGGGTCAGCTCCTCTCTTTGATCAGCAGACAGGAGGACAGGAAAGATCAGGATCCATGTGCAGATCTACTGTGCATGCTTGTGCTGCCTCAGTTTACCTTAAAGTTTAGTCCAGGACTGTTCAACTAAATCACTCCAGGGCCACAGTTACTGCAGGTCAACAGCTGAGGGGCCGAACATCCAGCAATTAAAGTCATTATGTAAATAAACCCAGTTTTACAAAGATCTGTTACCTTTTAAATTAGTTTATTTTACTGCATTTAATCATGAAAACATACAGAACCCTATAAAAGTAGTGATAATTAAACAATATCAAAAACAAAAAGAACACATTCTGCCTCTTATTTAACACACGAGTGGCAGCACGATGGTTCAGTGGTAATCACCGACGCCTCACAGCAAGAAGGTCCTGGGTTTGCTCCCCGGTTCAGACCTGGGGTCTTTCTGTGTGGAGTTTACATGTTCTCCTTGTGCTTGTGTGGGTTTTCTCCGAGTACTCCAGTTTCCCCCACCCTTTAAAAACATGTACAATAGGTGGTCTTCAGGCCCAGGCCTCCCTTGAAAAACAGATCTGAGGTCTCAAAGGGACTTGCCTGCTTAAAATAACAGTAAAATAATAACAATATTTTAACATCTCTGACTTGACAAAAGTTTATACCGATTTTATTTTCACTTTCATTGTTTTATCTTCAACTACTTGTAGTTTTAACTGTCTTAAGTGCTCATAGAAATGTTTTTACTAGGGATGCACCGATATGAAAATTTAAGCCGATATCGATATCCAATATAATTATTGATGTTATGGCCAAAAGCTGATAATTACAGATCTTACACAAACACACAAATTATACATATATGCACAAACACACTTGGGTGTTTTTTTGATACAATAAATAAAGAAGCAGACGTCTGACATGACTCTACTTCAGTTATTCCTGCTGCAGCATCAGTATCACAACATGACCAAACAGATGCTGCTCAACCAACCATCGCCTCTCCCAAAACACAAACACAAAGATAAAAAATGGGAAATCAATATCACACATTAATATCGGCCCATTTTTACATATCGGATCGATACCGATATTAATATCGTTATATTGTACATCCCTAGTTTTCACCAGCTTGTGGCCAAGATTCTGATGTTTCTGTAGATACCAAACAGGTCTGTTTAACTAAAACAACTCAGAGTAATTAAAGTAAAAAACCAGGGGTTTGGGCTGAAGAGATGAATGAACCAATTAGCGGCTGAACTTTGGTCACTCGCAGGCCAGATGTGGCCCGCGGGCCACAAGTTGAATAGCCCTGGTTTAGGATTTAGTCAAAAATAAAAGCACAAGTAAGTGTTTTCCTCTTTGCCTTTGTTTTAAACTAAACTTTAAGCTAAACTGAGGCAGGACAACCATGCACAGTAGATCTGCACATGGATCCTGATCCTTTCACTGTTGACCAATAGTAGAGGAGCTGACCCAAGAAGGACCGCCCACCTTATTTACATAACGAGACAGAATTGCATCAGGTAAAGTACAAACAGGACACAGAGAAATTTAAAAGCAACACTTGGAAACAAAAAGGCTGCTGGGAAAGAATTATAAAAAATAATAAAAATAACTGTTTAAGAGGCACAAATGCATGTACAAGGAAAAGGAAAAAAATATATATTTAAAACAGTAAAATGTAAATTATGTGCTAAAATATATAA